TGTGTATATTTATTTACTATATTGCCATTAATGATTGACCATTATTCATTAAAGTTTGACTTAATCATATCCATTGATATGATATATTCAATGATCCAGATTCATTCTCATTTCTTTCGTTGTGTTTCTTTCTCATTTGAGCGTACTTCTTATATATAAAGCAAGTAATGGTATTAAATTATAATTAAACTCCATTACTCTCTATATCACATCAATTTTAATAATTCACTATTCATCTAATCGCATAATTTTAACTAATTATCACTTTTAATTATATTTCTCATATTTTTACATCAAATCAACTTTAATTATTTTAAATAATATTTTAATTTTTAAACTTAAATTCTCACTAACAATCAATCATATCATTTTTTTTTTTTCATAATTAATTATGAGTAAAAAAAAAATTAAAACCCAATCAAATCTATATCCAAAATCATTGCCTTATCATGCTATGATATCACGTTAATTGGTATCCAATCCATACTTGTTCACTAGGCCTATGAGTAACCTTTGAAAAATGGAAGGCCCGGTTTGTTACAAAGCCCATTTGTTATACTATATCCAATCCAAGATGGTTTATGATTCACATACATTTTTTTTTTTTTTTTCCCTCCAAAAGCTGATATTTCATTCTAAGCAAGAAAAGTGAGTAGGTCAAATTTGGAGAGATTTTATTACGAGGGATGAGAAAGGAAAATGGTAAACTTTGTTTGGTAAAAAATTGAATGAGGGGAAAGATTAACTTTTTTACACTTGATGATATGAAAGATAACATTCAATTATTATACAACAAGGGTATAATAGTAATTAGATATTAACAATTTTTCCCTCCTATGCATAATTAAAAAATAAAACTAACCTTTAAGCAACACAAATTAAGTATAATATTCTTCACCTATACACTTCCTCATTTAAAAATAAGCAAAATAATAAATTTTCTACAACAATAATATTATAGATCAATACAAAAGAATTAATGACCAAACAACTTTTAACTAACTAAATACAAATTAACAGACACTAACTACACAATCCTAACGAATATACAATAACGATTTGCTAGTTGAATTTTAAAAAAGAATATTTAACAAATAATAAAAAAATAATAAATAATTAAATCTCACCCCTAACTACTAGTAATGGCAATAATCAACCAATGACGTGGCCGAGAACACAATGACTTGTTCATGCGGCAACGCTAAAGCAAACTCATTCACCGTTTCACACTCACCGCCGGCATCTTCTGGCATCGCCGGAAGGTTGAGGTCCACTGACAAAACCGTCCTCGGCCGCTTGGCCTCATTATCCCGAGTCGCCAGTGGCCTGTGCCGCCGCATGTGGCCGCCCAACGCCTGGCCGGACGCAAATCGAGTCCCACACAACGAACACTCGTGAACCCTAGCCGCCTTTTTCTCGTCAGGTGAGGTCGGGACTCGTAGGGACAAAATCGTAATTTCGCTTCCATTCGACTTGTTTTCGCGTGGGGCCACCGATAGCTTCTTGTGGCTTGCCCGGTGGCCGCCGAGCGCTTGGAAGGACGTGAAATTTTTGTCGCACGTCTTGCACTGGAAGCTGACGGCGGTGGCAGATGCAGCCACCGTCGGTGGCTCATGGGTCGGACCTCTAGCCAGCAGAATCAGACAGTTGGCCATGTCCTCCTCATCGCGATCTTCGTCTCTGCCGAGTGTTGACTCGTCGCCGGAATTGAGATCGGTTGCAGCACCGGAGGAGCTTGCCGACATGGTTAGGGCAAGCGGGGACGGGTGTCGAAGCCTCTTGCTTCGTTTTCGCTTGATCGGAATAATTTCTTCTTGAGCTAGCATATATATATGTATGTATATATGATCTTTGTTTCTTTAAGTCTTTTTAATTTATTATAGAGATTGTGAGGAGAAGGAAGGTGATGAAATGAGTTGTATGAGGAGAGTTGGAGTTGCCATGTATATATAGATAATTGTGATTTGGCTTAATAATTTTGGTGTATATAGTGTTAAGTTTGTGGTGTTTGAGTGTGGTAAAGGCAAACCTTTTTGAAGTGTGTTGAGAGAGAACTTCTTTTCTTGCACTTGGAACTTTAGGAAGTTGACATATGTATATAGTATGTGTATTGATGATGTCTTAAACTTGAACAAGTAAGGTATTATACATCCATAAGTAATCTAAATATATCTATATCTATATATCTATACATATAATTATATATTGTGTGAATATTTATATTTAGTTAATTAGAAAATGTAAGATGTAGAATCGCTAGACGGTCACACTTTCTTACAAAAAAATGCATATTAATAATATAAAATGTCATAATTTTGTTATATAGCATTTTAAAAAATGGCAATTAATTAAATATAAAAGTGTGTATATATATTTGTTCAAAAAGTATGATTATTTAATCATTAGACAGTCTAACAGAAGACGAACAATTAGTTAATTTGTATAATAATAATAATAATAATAATAATATAAATAGAATCGGTTGGCTTTGAAGCAAAACTTGTTACTTAGTGGCAACGATATTCGATGGTAGAGTAGTATTAGAGTGCAAGCCTGGCACCACAAAAACATTACACATTCGCTGCATAACTTCATCACCACCTTCTTCTCATCTTCATTAATCATTAATAAATTTGGTTTTATTATTTTATATTTTATTTTATTAGAATGTGATTTTCAAGCTTGTGGCTGACAATTATTGGGCCACATTCTAATTAATTGGATCTCAATTAGGCCGAAAAGCTTTTGCTATATAATTAGTTATAACTTGTGGGAAAATGCTAAGGTCCCGTTACGGAATCATTTCGTCGGGGTTTGTAACCGTTAGATCATCATTTAAACATCAGAGATAGTTGATCTAACGTTTACAAATCACGACGAAATGATTCCGTAACGGAACCTTAGCATCTTCCATAAGACCATAACTTGTGTACCTGTCAATTAATTTATCATTCACACAAAAGGTCACCATGTACATACCTCTTATCAAAATATTTTTCAGAAACCGAAAGATCTGCAAAAGAATCAAAAATTATTTCAAAAAATGAACACTCCATAATAATAGTTATTATTATTATTATTATTATTATTATTATTATTATTATTATTATTATTATTATTATTATTAGGAAAGAATATGCATAGATGTCAACACACATATATATAATATGTTAAACTGTTTGACTTTAAATAATCCATCTCATACATACATTTGTAGTCAACTGTGTGCAGAAGTAAGATTTAGCACTAACAATCAATATTAATTGGGAAGAAAATAATAATTATTGGACCTATAATTTTGTTTTTATTATTGAGAAGAAGAGTGAATTATTAAGATAGCATTAAGAAAATAATTTATCAAGCATTTTTTTAAATTAGAAAAAGACAAATTATTATGCAGGCGAGTATGAGGGGGCACGTACATACTAGTTTAAATGTTCTTGAATGAGAGGCTGACAGCAAAATATATAGTGAATAATTCAAAACCAAAATGATCACAATCTATTTTATTTACTTATTTGTTATTAATTTAAAATTGTTCCCATTTTTTTTTTTACAATAAAGCACGGCCGAAGCCTAATGAATATTGCTAAGACAAAACACGATGGGGATGAGCCACCACAATAATATCATTATGTTCAAGCCACATGCATATGGACAGTGATGGAACGGGAAGATGGTGCACCTCGAGGGGTTCGGACGCCGCTAAGGAAACCAGATGATTCGTCGTAAAATTTACTTCTCGAAACACATGAACTAGTTTCACCGACCATTCACGATCCCGTAATTCTCGTATTGCCCGAACAAGGCTATCATGAATCCCACGCACATTCTCGTTAGCACACTAGCATGCATCTACATGCATATCCACAGAGATAAAAAAAAAAATAAAAAATGATAAATTAGGAAAACAAATTTAGGGATACCCTCCTTTTTAAGCATATAAAAGAAATTAGGGGAAATAATAAAGCAAGGTAGGTCGGTGAATCCTTTCTTAAGTCAATCCCATATTATTTCCTCTTAATTGAATTTGGATGTATTCAAATTACAACTTTACATAGGCAATTATACTTATAAGGTAACTTATGGCTTTT